AGCAAAAAACCATGCCTTAAGAGATATTTTAAACTATGTGGCATTACTAACAATAAAGCATGCCCCTCAGGAAACAATTTTAGGGTTAATTTCTACTTTATAAAAATTTAAAAAAATTAATCTTGTAACATTGCTGCTGAGTTGGCTGTATGATTGTGAACCATCTATCCCGATGGCAGAATGTCTGTTGAAGTGAATCTTCCCCATCCCCACCCCTTAGTTTTGGATTCATAAGAGTTAACAAGAAGTGCTTCTGTGTCAACCTATTGCGCTCTCCAAATCCCCTTTGCTGCTATGGCACATCGAGTCTTAGGAATATAATTGAATCTCCTCTGATGATTCAGTGTGTTTCAGGACCTCAGGGCTGTGATGCTGACCATCAATTATCATTGTATAGGACAAAAGATATAGATGTGGAAGAGACAGCACATCGAGCTAACTGTGAAACAATTCCAAAATAGCCTGTGGAAAATGCCTTACTGAAAAATACCCTGATGTCTGTGAGTTTTTGATGTCTTTGTTTTCTCTTAAATGTGTTCTTAGTTTAGGGAAAAGATAAAAAAAAAATATTCCAGTGATTTAACTTGCTGGTTAATAGAGCCTTTTTGTTTCAGCTTATTATTCCATGCCTTTCACTTCTTTTTATACCACGTGAAATATGAAAAGCTTGGTGTTTCTAGTCTGTTATCTCTTTGTCTCTTTATGAGCACAAGGTGTGGCCACAATCCTGGCCTGGAGCAAGGTTGTCTGATGGAGCTGAGACCCAAAACTTCTACGGTGATTCATAAGTCAGTGTTCATAGAACAGTTTGGGGGATGTTTTCAATAAGCAGCAACGGCTGTTTGAGAGAACAGAAGTTGTAGAAGGGAGGCCAGTGATCCAGCTGAGGGATGCCTCACTCCCTTTGTGTTGATGTGGGTGTAGGCAGCTCTTTCTTTTTTTGTCCAACTGTGACACTGTTGAGTCTTTCTAATTCTTTAAACTTCTCCCATCAGTTCCACCTCCTCCACAAACTCGCCATCTAACTGTGCAGTGTCTTCATTTTATGTTCCACTCTGATTGGGATCTGAGAAGAACCCCACGGTGCCAGGTTCCAGAGTGCTGTGTGGTGGACTGAAGAAGTCTCCAGGGATCCCATGAGACTGCTGGGCTTATCAGTGTACTGAGACACTGGCTCTCCTTGGCTCAGCGGGTATCCAGGTGAAGTCACCTATAGTCTCAAGCCTCCTGTTCAGCTTTGTGCCCATATAGAATGTTAGACCTTGACTTCATATGTGCATTGATGACTTGAAAAGTTAGCACGCAAGATCCCATTTCCCAAATGGCCATTTGAGAACATTTCCTGGTGAGCAATGAAATATTGGAGGGAGTTCAGTGTCAGACCTCGATGGTCTCTAAGACGACTTTTTTTTTTTTTTTTTTTTTTAGCACAACTGAGGAATCAGAACCCAAGTTCTCCAAGCTCTCAGAGCTAATAGGTGACAGAGCTGGTATCAGTTCATGGTCTCATGCTTTTTCTTTATGCAAGACAACTGAAGACTATCAGTTGAAGACTATTAACTTTGTAGATGCCTTAATATTATGATGAGATGGAAAATACCCTCCTGGGGAAGATGTAGACTTGAGTTCATTTTTTTAATTTGATTTGATTTCTGTTTAGTTTTCTTACATTGTTTCCATCTGCTTGAAAGAGAGACCGGGAGAAAGAGAGAAGAGTAAAAAGAGACAGAGAGAATCAGCTTTTAATTATTTACCAAATGCTCACACAACACTCATTCCTGGATTCATCTGCTATGTCTCCCCTTAGGACAAATCTCTCTGGTCCTCACTTTACAAATGAAGGGTTTTTGGAATTCAACGAAAACTTGTTCAGGTAGCAGCAGCTAAACGGAAATGAGGAGAGAAGTTTTAAAGCCAGCTAGCAGAAAGCCAAGTCTTGGATAGTGCTTTTCTCCCTTCCAGTTTTGCCTCCCCCAGTGTTTTACACACCGTGGCATTTCAAGGGACACAATTACATTAAGAGAAAACATCTTGTAGCATCCTAAGCGATTGTTTTCGTGTTGGCAGGAAACAAAATGCTAAAAGCAGTAAGTGGTGAGAAGTCTGTTTTTCTAGCTTTGACCAGAAGGAGTCTGTGAATAGTCACCATCTGGAATGTGTGAAGTTGTGGAGTGACCTTTCCTTGCTGCCTGCACCCAAGCTTCTGGAACAGGGTCAGGAAGCAAAATCCTCACGTGGAGAAGTGAGAATAGCCTAAAAAACACAGCCTGTCTGCTTCTCTCTTTCTGCCTCAACAAGGAGAAGCAGCAGCATCTGTGGTTAATTACAGATGGATTTTGCTCCAACTTGTTAATCTTGGAGCCCTGGAGGAGTGAGTCTGCCATCTTGAAGAATAGAGTGTCCATGAGCTTGTATTCAAACAGTGGTGCTGGCAGTGTTGTCCTGCTGCCTATCAGAAACACTAGTTTTTTAAATAGGTGAGTGCATTTGTTGCTCTCTAGTTTTTCTCATGTTCAATCAATTGAGTTGAATTGCCCTTCTAAAATAGAATTCTCCCAGTTCCTAATACCCGACCTGTGGATAGTTGTCTAAACAATCAGATTGCTATTTGTCTACCCGATACTCCCTCTGCTTTATTTTCCTAGCTAGCAGTACCTCTGTGTTGCTCTGTGTTGTTGAGAATGATCTTGGGCCAGTTTTTTCTTTTTTTTTTCAGACTCCTTTGCAGAGACAGATGTTGGTCTTTGGGATATAGTTTGTTCATAGAATATGAAAGAAGGCTCTTCACTAAGGCTTACTCAGTTTGCACAAAAGCTTATGCTTCCCTTAACTTGCCTTCCTTCTCCTTTTCTTCTCCTATGTGGCTTTGATGGTAAGAGCATCCCGTTACCATGACGATAGGAGCAGTCACTGTAAGGTCCAGGAGCAGACCCATAGTGTACACCTAGAGACAGAAAGGATGTTGTGTGCTCACTTCAAGCAAGTGATTTGAGTAGCCTGGGTCTTCCTACCTGTACTCTTTGCTTTTTACATGAATACAAAGCAATTCTATAATTTCTGTAAACTCTACATTATGTCAGTTTGAGTTTCTGTTCCAAGTAGTAGGAAACTCTCCCACGTTGAATACATGGCTGTTATATTAACTTTGAATTTATTTGGAGATGGTGTTATGGTGTTACAGTTAAAGCCACTGTCTGTAATGCTCACATCCCTTATGGGCATTGGTTAAAGCTTGGCACCACTTCTAAAACAGCTTCTAATTAATGTGTCTGGAAAAGCAATGGGAAATGGCACAGGTATCTGTATCCCTGAACTTTTGTGGGTGATTCAGGAGAAGCTGGTGGCTCCTGGTTTCAGGCCAGTGAAGCTGTGGCCTTTGTGGACATTTGGGGAATGAACCAGGGGAGGAAGATTCATTTCTCTCTGTCTCTGTCTCTGTCTCTGTCTCTCTCTCTAACTCTGCCTTTGGAATAACTAAATCTTTTTTTTAAATTTGCATTTACCACCAACATTTCTTTTTTGTTATGTAGGATTCATCTTGTGATTATTTAGAAATATTACATTAGAAATTTATTCTTTGGATTATACAGCAAATAGCATATAAACTTGCATTGAGGCAAAAAAAAAACCAGATGGTTTTTAAATTTACGTTTTAGTTCACATACATAGGATGTACCTTTTTATGAATATGTCTGTATAAATATCTAAAGTTATATAAAACACCATCATAATTGTGATGCCCAAAAATGCCCTTTCTCCAACAAGATAATATTTGTCCAGTTTGCTTTTGATTTATGTTTACATGTTTATATGGTACATATTTTCTCAGATTTTGAACTTTAAAAAAAAAGATGTTATTTATTTACTAAAGTCAGTACTACATTCACACACACGTGGCGGTGGGGAGGGTTGGGAGAGTGATGGAAAGATACTTCCATCTGTTGGTCCTCTCTTCAGATGGCCATACTAGCCAGGGCTGAGTCAAGCTGAATCCGTGAGTTCCATCCATGTCTCCCACATGGTTCTGAGGACCCAAACACATGGGCCATCTTCCACTGCTTTTCTCAGGCCATTATCAGGAAAGTGAGTCAAAAGTGGAGTGGTGAGGGTAAGAATTGGTGCCATGTGGGGATTTGGCATCACAGGTGGTGTCTTTATCAACTATGCCATGACACTGGCACCATGATTTAAATGTGACATCATTGTGCAAAGAGTTTCAATAATCAGTTTTCAGTTGGATCTCATGTTTTCACTTTACACTGACAATTTGTCTTTCATAATTGTGTTTATACTATTTAACGTGATTATTCACATTTTTGGATTTGGATATTCTATTATGTTCATGGGTCTCTGTTTACCCCATTTTGTCTTCTGTTCTATTTTCCCTTTTACCTCATTTTGGATTACTTGAACATTTTTACCAAATCTATTTTTGAATATATTTATGTATAGATTTTATACTGATAATTTTGGAGCTTTTCATATATGTACAATCTTTCTGTGGTTTATATCAGGTTAATAATTTTATTTTTATCAGTTGGATATAGAAATCTTGATCCATGCAAGTCCATTTGCCATACTCCTTTTTTATGTAGCTTTATGTAATACAGTATTTCAATATTTATATATGTTTAACCTTATCAATGTTTATATATGTATATGCTTAAAATGATGTTGAATATTTATATATTATTTACTTTTTAAAATTTTTGATTTTTGATCAGCATGGGAAGGGTTGAATGGGTGTGATCATTATTTCCAAATTTTCTGTTTCTTCCTGTTTCTGGGACAATGGGGGAGATAAGGGGAGAACTCATACCCAGCTTTCTGACCACCCAGTACCCAAGGATGGAGAATGACCACCCAATATCAAACCAGGGTTCCGATGTGTTGTATGCTCTGAGGGTTCTGCCCAGGTGGATACAATAGTTCTGAAATGTTGATTTTGTTGATCCAAGGATGAGGAAACCCTCCCAATGTACATTAGCTGACATAGTCAACCTAGAGTTTCCGTTCAACCTTATTTTTGCTGTCACCATTTGGCTGGGGGAGTTGTCCAGTTTGTTCTGTTCTCCTTCATCTGCCAAGCCAACTGTCCCCATTTCACATTCGTCATTGGGAACCCTAACCCAGCCAGGGCATCCCCTTAGCTCTCCAGTCAGGTCTGTTCCCAGCCACAGTTCTTGTGCTGTGCCAACAAACATTGCAGTTCCACAGAGGTGAACCAACGTTATCCTCCAACACACAGATTCTGCCCCCAGACCTGATTCTCTCACGTGCTGGTTATTGTCATAACCCAGTCTAACATCAACCGTTTCCTGCTCTGACTCTCCCTGGTGGGTACTGTGATTTAGCCCTGCCAGGTAGGTCCCCAGCTCTAGCTTAATGTGAGTGAGTGCTGTTCAGTGACTGCCGATGCTAACTGTCCTAGTGCAGGTCTCCCACGTATGTTGGTACTTTGCTCTTACCCTTAAAGGTCCTCACATTGTTCCCTTCAAATTCCTTGGTCTCAGCCCCCTCACTTACCTGCACATATAGAGTCTTTGTGGAAGTTGCTCAGTAGTAATTCCTTACCTGGACATGAACCCTCAGGTCCCTGCTAGCCTTTGCTGTGCCATCTCTCAGGCACCCTATTAACTGACACCACCAAGTTCCTGGAGTTCGTTGCCCAGTGGCAGAGGGCTTCACCTGATGCAGGGGCTGCCCTGTGGAGAGGAGAGAACTCCCCCTATTATTTTCAACATTCATGGATACTATTTTCAAGATCTTAAAAAATAACTGTACCCACATTTTTATCATTTCTGTTGCTTTTCCTTTGATCTTGAAGTTCCATATTTCGCTCTGGCATCATCTGTCTTCTCTCTGAAGAAGTTCCTTTATTATTTTCCTTAGCATAGGTGTGTAGACAGTACATTCTCAACACTTCTTCTTTTGAGAAGGTCTTTATTTCTGTTTCATTCTTGAAATAATGTTTTTTATTGAATATGGAATCGGCCTCACTGTTTTTTTTTTGTCTCTTCAAAAATAGGTTCTTGTTCTGCTGTTTTTGATCTCTGTTATGCAGATTACTGAACCATGTAAATATACAACATTTTGCTTTCCTTTGGTGCAATTGTATGTTTGTAGCTGTTAGATGGTGATTTTTTTTTTTTTTTTTGCTTTTGCTTTTATTGCTTGATATATTTTCTGAGTTTTTTTTTTTAACTTTGCCTTTTCATGTCTTATACTAAGTTTGGAAGCTGACTAGTCATTATCCCCTTGTTGTTTTGTGAGCTATGATCTCGCCTCTTTCGGTGACTTTAATGTCTGGTTAGACTTTTGGATATTTCCCCCAAATCTCTGCTGATATTTGCTGCTTGTGTCTTCTTTACATTGGGTAATTTCTACTAATCTTTCTCCAAGTGAATTGATTCCTTGATGTTTCATTTCTTTTTCTGTTCCTGAGTCCGGAGTGACAGTTTTTATTTGAAAAAAAAATTCCTCTCTTTTTGTTAGTATTTATTTCAGTGAGAACTTTTAACTTGTAGTTCATCTCAGGAGTGTCCATGCATCATGGGCGTTATTATGAGAACTGCACTTTTTTTTTTTGACTAATGATTTGAACATCTGCATCATCTCAGGAGCTGTTTGTGTTCACTGTGTTTTGGCCTCTTGAGAGTTGCTGTTTTTTCTTCTTTTTGTGTGCTAAGTATCCAGGACATTTTGTTGATTATGTTTTGAATCTTTAGGTTTCATTAAAGTGCTCTCATTATTGATTATTTTTGTTTCAGCAAATGAGTTTCCTCTTGCCTCTTAGTCACTCTGGCTCCAGTGTCACCTTAGCTCCCAGAGCATTTGTAGCGCTTTCCAGAACAGAGAGCACCCATCTAGGACTCGGACACTGTTATACATTCCAGTTCTGTTGTCTTGGCTACAGTTAGTCTTCTGTTTGTTTGTTCCAGATCTGTGTCCCCCGGTCATAAATCAAGGACTTAATACCCAGGATTTAGGATATCTTTCTCAGTAGCTGGTGCTCTATTTCTTCTATATGTTTCAGCTTCCAGAAAGTTCTTTTTCTCTGGTTCAAGTTACAGAGTCATATTTTACATCTTTCATTGATACATGCTTTGCACAAATGAGTCTGATTTTGACACAAGTGACAAGAAAAACAAAAAAAGAAAATGAAAGACTGGAGATTCTGTTCCCAACTTTGACCAGATGCACTGCCTTTCCCAGTTCTTGTGAAAGAAGGGGTTTTCTCTGTGATGAATGTTGATGAATGTTTATGTGTCCAGATCATTCGGGCTTGTTTTAATAGTACATGCAAGGAGATTAAAAACACACAGCAATGCAAGGTTTCACTACAAGCTCTCATACTCGTGGAAGGCCTCCCATCTCATCCTCTACCACAACGTGATGGTTCATCTTGGATTTCTCAGCATGCTTGCTCTATAGTTGAAGAACTCAGGCTTTTTTTTTTTTGTCTCTTCAAAAATAGGTTCTTGTTCTGCTGTTTTTGATCTCTGTTATGCAGATTACTGAACCATGTAAATATACAACATTTTGCTTTCCTTCGGTGGAATTGTATGTTTGTAGCTGTTAGATGGTGATTTTTTTTTTTTGCTTTTGCTTTTATTGCTTGATATATTTTCTGAGTGTAAGACAAGTGTAAGACAAGAAATTAACAAGGAACAGACAAGGAACTCACTGTCTTAGAAGTCATTCTCTGAGGACTGACATGTCTCAGTTCCCCTACGAAATATAATTTTTAGTTCTTACAGAGCTCCAGGTGTTGCTTTTGTGTTTCCTGTGTGTGAGTTGTCATTGGTAGGCAAAAATGTGCTTGCTCTATCTTGTGTAGAGTGAAGAGCTTCAGTGTTGTTTTCTTTTTTAATATTTTGAGTTTTCTGATCCTAGTCCATTTTCTGTCAGCAAAATTAAATAATGCCTAAGGCTGGGTGATTTTCACAGAAAAAAATCATAGTTTCTTGATAGGCCCTAGAGAGACTAGAAGGTCAAAATCAAGACTAGGTGGCAGTACCTCTTAAGAGCATAGTGCCGCATCATCAGGTGTTAGCAGAGAGTTAAGTAGGTACCTGTAGAAAAGATTACAAAGAAGAGCTGGGCTCATTTTACAGCTTTTGTGGTGAGTAGGGACCCCTTATGAGTTCAGGTGTTCTTCAGAAACCCATGTAGTAGTAGCTTCATCCCTGATAGCATGGCTAATGGATTTGGGATGGAAACTTAGTCCCATTTTGGTATTTATTATATCACACAGAGATAAGACTTTTGGAAAGTGATTAAATTAAGTTCCTTGGTTATACCCTGCAACCCCAACATGACTGAATTGTGGTGATTTTGTAAGGAGAGGCACATGGAAATGGAGAACAAATACGCTCCCTGTATCTTGGCTCCTGGTTCCCTGTTTGGTCCTTTCTGTGCAAGTAGTGACCTGCCATTCACTGTGCACATCAGACACCAGGTTAATAGGGTTACCGGTTCTTGGGCTGTGAGCCTCCAAAGTTGGAAGCAAAAATAAGACTTGTTCCTTTGTCAGTGGCTTCTCTCAGGTAATTTAGTTGTAGTAATAGAAATCTAATTAACCACTCCAACAAGAAAGGGATTAATCCCTCTCAACAATCTAATCACATCTTAAAGGACTCATCCCCTTTAACCACAAAGGAAATAGAATTTCTCCATGAGTTTTTAAGGAGACAAATCACATTTAAACCATAGCACTCTTTCACCTGTTTCTATGGTCTGTTTTATAATGATTCTTAATTGCCACTTACATAATAGTTGGAATGGTTCTAAGTTACATAATGAATAAAACTTGATTTTTAAAAGTTCTTTTGACAGAGATATGTATATTGCTGTTTTGGATTAGTGTTGGGTTTTAACCATGAGCTGAGTTACTTGTTTATTTGAAATGTAGAGTCATAGGGAGAAACAGAGATCTGACATGCTGCGGTCACTCATTGGCTTCAGTGGCCAGGACTATGTGAAGAGGTCAGGTCCAAGAGAAAGGAGCTTTGTCTCCTACATTGATCCTGAGATCCAAGTAGTTGGGCCATGTTTCATTGCCTTCCCAAGTGCATAAGCAGAGTTGGTGTGTAAGCGAAGCAGCTGGGTTTTGAGTCAGTGTTCTGATTTGGAATGCCTGAGTAGCAAGTAAAGCCCTATCTGCTGTCCCACGGTGTCAATCTGTGGGCAGCGTCATTGCTTATTTGCATTGTGTGTTTTCCTTGGGTATAATATTTGCACACTTGTTTGATAACTAGCAAGCAGTGAATCTAAATTGACATCTAGTATATGATCATTAAGAACATAATAATTTAAGATGAAATTGTTGAAATGCTTAAAAAACAAAAATGCTTTTAAAATGCTATTGAAGCAACTAATGACCATTTTAAAAAAACTTAGTGGATGCCAGATATATTCCACTGAACATTAGACTTCATCTTAAGGTTTACTTGAGTTCTTTGCATGTGATAGATACATTATAGAACTATGGATTCTGACGAGCTGGAACAAACATTAAGTTGACGTAGCTGGAGGTTCATCTTGTTTGGTGGTCCACTCATGCAGAGGAGCACCTCAATCAATGAGGACACTTGAGAGGTAATTTTCAACCTTGAGCATGCACCAGTGTCACCAGTAGCATTTGATTAACAGTTTGCCAGACCCTACCCCACAGTTTCCAATAGGGATTCTGGGATGGAGTCCAGTAACTTGTAAGATATTCCCAAATTAGGCTGATGCTGCTTGCTCATCAAGGCGTCTGCACATTGAATGTAAGTTTTCTAAAGGTGATATGAAAATGGCACTTGGGCCTAGTGAATTCAAAATGCTTCTTGGCACCAAAATTATATATTTTATTAATCTTTATAGACACTGAAATTTTTTTGTATGAGCAGTCTCCTATTGAATCTGTAAGTATATCATTTCTGACTGGCAGGAAAATGTGGGCAAAAACATGGACACTGATTTATACAGATCTCAGTTGCAATCTAGGATTCCATTTTGGCTGGCTGGTTTTTTCTTGAATCTTTGCCTCTTGAGTTTTGCCTCTTCATGTGTCTCAATTGTAAGCTCGAATCATGGTGTGCTCATTGTGTAAATATGGCATGAAAACTTGAGGGATGAATGTAATAGCCCAGTAATTGCAAAATCCTTGTAAGTGTAACGCATCCCAGACGGGATGACCTTACTGTTTATCCTTGAGAGAGTGAGTCCCCCCCAATGACCGACGAAGGCAAGACTTGATGCAAAAGCAGGAGGCTTTATTCAATCACCAGCACACTGGGGCTAGGGCCAGTCCCCACACAGGAGGCCAGGCACACCAGCCCCGAGTCATTGTACAGCATTCTTTTTAAAGGCTAAACCCACAGGTGAGGAGGGGGCCATACAACTGGGGACTTTCCACTGCCGCTCTCAATTCCTTATCGTACTTCCTCTTCGGGTCATAAGATGCCTATCCCAAGACCTTTCTCATAACTTAATCCAGATGGAGCTGCAGGCACCCCTTATCTCTCTCTGGTTCCCAGGCTCTATCTAAACTAAATCATGAGATGTTTGGCTATTCATTGTCCTCTTCAGCAAGCAAAGTACGAAGGCAAAAAATCAAGTTAAATTCCTCTATCCTAAATTTTCCTTTTCATAAGCAAATGATGCTGGGCTAGACTCTTGGGATAGAATTGGTGCTCTAAAGTTGCCTGTGGTCGTAGACACAGGGGAGGGTGTGGTGGAACAGGGAATGTGAGGATGACCTACTTCATCCATTTGGAGAAGCCAGGCAGTGTTTCCTGGAGAAGGTGAGAATGTTGAGGAAAGTCAGGTGTTAAAGGGAGGGGAGTTTAGATATAGCGCACAACCTACCTGAGCTAAAACAAACTGCTGCCTATGTAAGAAGTGGCTCAGAACAGAGTAACAAAAATCATACAAAGCTAAGAAGTAGTGAGCGCCATTGCAGGATTTTTCAATATTACTAACTTGCTAAAACCCCAGCAAACTGTGACACAGCTTGTGAGTGACAGAGATCAAATCTACAACAGGCTGACTGCCTCTGAAACGAAACTTTTATCCATTGTCTACTCTACCTTCTGTATTGAGCCCTCAAGAAATGTGAATTCTCTGCATTTCTCTCCCCTTCAAAACGTGATTTCCTGGAATGCATTGATTTCTTTTTGGCTGAATTTTAAAAAGCACACAGTAAAACTATCAGGTCATTATCTTGAGGGTTGGATTCTATTTTGTTGTTAATACTCAGAATGAGTAAGTGTCCCGACCTTATTCTGTATTCAGAGACTGTCAGGGAGACTGGACTACCCAGGTCATGGATTTTCTCTGGCTTCCCTTAAGTGAGCTTTGGATAGCAAGGGTTTCTCTGTACACATTCCCTCTGTCCAGGGTGTCACTGCTGTTCTATGGGAGACAATTTTTCTTAATGCTTTTCCTGTCACTCTCTTACACTGATAAAATGGACATTTCCTGCAACTCAAATAATTTAAATTTACTGTTACTCCCTGCCAATAGGATTTTTTAAGGCTGATTCTTCCTGGGAATGAATAATTACACTGCTGTGCTTCTTTAATGTCATTTTTTCTGTCTGTATTTAACTTAAATCTAGGCCATTAGTTTGCCCTGAAGTAATGAATGGATGTGTGATTGACTCCCCTAGAATTATAATTAGCTACAGTGACCTTATGTGTATGTTTAAACCACTAAATTGTTGAGATTAGTAAGGCTTTTCTGGGGTGGACAGCCAAATAACTTGCACAAATGAAAGATTTGTGAAAGCATGATGTATTTATTGAATAGATAATGTATTATTTCTTGGTTTTATTGGTAAATATTAGACATGCTGATATTCTCCCTTTCTCTCAAGTATATGCTTTATGAAATCAGCTTCTTCCTTTATAAATGCAAAAGTATGCTGAACTTCTGTGCTTCTACATTGCTTTCATGAGGTCAGCAACCTCATGAATATAAGGTGTCTCATCACGTTCTATTTGTCATGCTGAATCAGTGACTTGGAGTTACCCCAATCATTCATTTAGAATCTAAGTGTCCTCTGGAATTAGGTACTTAGGGATCAAGTCAAGGGGTTGAGGATGGAGTGGTGAACATTTTCAACCACAGGGATTGTAGTAAGAGGCTGGTCTCATACAAAAATGGAAATGAGAAGTTAATTCTTAGATAACTTAGAGAGATGTCCTGGGACTTTGG